ATAAAATGATACTCGCAAAGTGTGTGCTTCTTAGTTCAAGTAGATACATGAGACTAAATGGGCAGCTCCTGTCCGGAGGCGCAATGAGAAAGCAGAAAGGGATAGGAGTTGGTTGAATGGCCACGGGAAATCCGGGGTGGAAAGGAGGACTGTGCTATCACATTACAGGGAAAGCAAGCAGGGTCACATAACAATGTGTGTATAAATGTTTGTATGAGAAACTAACTTGAGCTGTAAACTTTCACCTAAAGCACAAAAAAATATATATATATAAAAGATAAAAAAAACTTAGATTGTATTTAACATTTTTCAGGTTACTAAAAATACTTGTTTGAAAAGTTTTCTTAATGTCTAATGCATAAAAGCCCATCATATGGATGTATCATAATTTATTTATTAATTACTCAATTGTTAGTTTTGTCACCAAAAAAAGCATTCCCTTTTTCTGCTACATTTCTAGGGTATAATTATCTCCAAATAGAAATAATAAGTCTTTAAAAATACACAGTGCTTTCATTCTAAGAAACACACTGTTCTCTCTTTGGCATTAGCTGGCTCTGGTGCTGGCTCTCACACTAATTATCTGTGTGAACTTGGTCAAGTTACTTTACCTCTCTGAACTCCACCTTCCCTATCTGTAAAAACTAGATGGTTTAGAACAGGGATTTATTTTTTTCCAAATTATGCTTGCAAGAACTCTTGAGATTCTCTTTAAGAGCTAGGGTTAAGGGTGGTAGGGACTGAGTGTTGGGGGCAACCTTCTTCCATCTAGAATCACTCCCATGTATCTGTTTCACATATCACTTCTATATAAGCTTTCCTAGAAGAAAGGGTTCCAAGCTAAAAAAAAAAAAAAAAAAAAAACTAAACCATTGGTCTAGTGGTTTAGAAAATAGGATGGTTGTAAGGAGAGATAAATAATAACCACAAACATTCTCGGACTCCCATTCACTGATTCAGAAATGCTTTATACGGTTTGCCTAATGTACAACTTTGTACATTCTCTTTTAAGATAAGGAAACCAAGGGTAGGGAAGGTAAGTAGCACAGCTAGTAAGTGGCGGGGACATGATTTGAAGCTATGTGCTCTTGTTACAGATGCCATGTTCCTGACAACTCAGCTATTTTGCTTCTTCAGATAAGGTCAGACTTGTGGTGGTGGTGGTGGTTAGCTGCTGTCAAGTCAGCGCATGACTTATGGCAACCCCATGCCCAAAACACTGCCCATTCCTGTGCCATCCCCATGACTGGCTACCCGGTCCTGCACCATCCCCATGATCTGCTGAGGATCAGAACTTTGTAAGCCATAGAGTTTTCACTGGCTGATTTTTGGAAGTAGATTGTCGGGCCTTTCTTCCTAGTCCTTATTAGTCTGGAAGCTCTGCTGAAACCTGTTCAGCATCATAGCAACATGTAAGCCACCACTGACAAATGGGTGATGGCTGTCTGTAAGGTACACTGGCTGGGAATTGAACCCAGGTCTCCTGCATGGAAGGTGAGAATTCTGCTACTGAACTACCAATGCCCTTACAAGGCCAGGCTAGACTCCTTGAATGACCTCCTCTGGTTCTTTCCAGCTTATCATTCAAAGAGTCAGTGAATTAACCTGAGATCCATAAGATAAATCAGGCTTTAGAGGTTGCCTCAATAATGAGAAAACAAAAGTAGAGAAATCACTGAAATCTCATGGACTCATGACTATGAAGATACATTGACCCTCAAAGAGGTTGGACCTGAGGAGCTTCATGCCTCTTGCAGGGACAGGAGGTATGACTATGGGTAAAACGCTTATCCTTCTGGATAAAATTAGGGATACCATCAAGTCCTTCCCAGCTACACCACTGAGAATTTAGATTCTCATTTTTAAAAAATTCTATTAAAATATTAAATTTGGTATGTATCCATAAATATCTTCCAGGCATTGCTTCCTCCAATCTCTCCATAAAATATCTAGGTTCCCTCATTGTGGGCCCATATTTTAAACTTAAAAAGCAAAATGAACTTATAATCATTTCCTTAAAGATTACATTTTTAAAACCAGTGAGATGATTAGACATGGGGAGCTTATAAATGCTACCAGTAAATGAGAGATGTTCACATACTAGGGAATATATCTTTAAAAAAAAATCCTGACTAATCTGCTCAAGAAGCAGTATTCGAATCAAACATCAAAGTGCATCTTATGACGTAAGTGCAAAAGGCTACAGGGTAGCAAACAAGCAGCCACCTTAAGGAGAGGAAACAGACATCTGCACATTAAAGATTTACACCAAGATCAAAACACATTTTACAGTCCAACTTTCTGTGCTGTTAAGTTCTGCTACCAAGAGTCACTACAATTAACCTAGTTCAGACTGATTAAAAGGAAGGCTCCTATAATTCATGTTGTAATGCTTTCATTATAATGGGAGAAGGGGAAATAATAAGGAGTCTAAAAAGCCATGGTTATAATGTGAAAGGAAAAATTTCCTTATTCTAAATATACCATTTCAAGAATTTCAACATTCACCACTGGCTAGAGAACTTGAAGAAATAATTATTTAACAGTTAGCATCAAGAACCATGCTGCTTCATTTTCATTAGTTTTCAGGGAATATAAAATAGTTTTTCTAACTCTCAGTCTCAAATTATTTTTAAAAATAATCTGATTAACACCTTTACTTGAAATCTGTCATAATAAGAATTAAAGGGGCTGGAAAAAAACCCCATCAGTCAAACAGAAATGGATCAAAGGACCAGAAAAAAATGATTAACTTTCCATTTCACTAGTTTCAGAATTCACAATGTGCGAGGCACTGTGCAAAATAAAATGAAATAAACTGAACGTCTGGTAAAGAAAATTTTTTAGGTAGAAAATAATCAGTAGAGAGAAAAAGACATTTGGTTTAGTTTAGTTCTATTACAGGAAAACAGCACATGAAGAAAAGTTTCATTGTAAGATCCTTTTCATGCTGTTTCTTTACCCTACTCCTTAACAGTGTAAAATTTCTGGTTTTTCCACTGATGTATTCTGATTGGAAGACAGGTGAAGTGTGCTTAATCAAGTACACAGCAGTGCTTCTCTAAGGCTCGATTACACTTAGGAGGTTTGAACAGGGTTTAGTCACACGGATCTTCTATAAATAATAGGTATCATTCACTCAGGTTATTTCTCCAACATGCCACTGCCATTACAGAATAAATAGCTGACTATATCAAAGGTCTCCAGGTTGCAAGGTGAGATAGTTCAAGTTATTCATTAAGTACATTTTCCTCTCAATTGTTGACCAAACAGACCTTCTACTCTAAAGCTTACTTATCTAAGAATTCAAATAGTCAGAATGAAACTGTTCAGTCCAAGAAAAATAATGTTGTGAAAATACCAACTCTTGCAATAAATGTGACTATAGGAAAACGTCAGATATTTATTTTTCACCTGTGTTAACTGGGGCATGGGGAGCAGGAGTGTGGAGCAAGGGAGGATCTTAACAGTTGAACAGAGTGTCCCACCTATCCAGTCCACCGGTACAAATCACATTAATCATCAGGGCACAAGCCCCACCTCCTCCAAAAAACCAAGGATGATTTCTTCCTCCCTTCTACTTCCCCAGCCTTTACATCCATTTGGCAGTTTAATCAGATATCACTTTATATTGTTATTTCATTTGTCTGTATCTTGTGTACCAGGCTGGGCCATAAGCTTTTAAAGCGCAATGTACGGAATAGTGGTTCTTGTTGTTTTTAATTTGCCATAGTACCTAACACAATACCATGCACAGAAGGTACTCAATACATATTTGTAAAATCAATAAACTTAACAACACGTAGGTAGTCACAGTGTGTTGTTGGCCTTGATTCTTCTAATGTGTCCTTTTATTTAGAAAATATTCTTCCAGTAAGAACAACACTAGGAGCCCTGGTGGCACAGTGTTTAAATGCTCGGCTGCTAACTGAAAGGTGGTTGGTTCGAACCCACCAGCCTCTCTGAGGGAGAAAGACGTGGAAGTCTGCTTCGGTAAAGACTACAGCCTTAGAAACCCTGTGGGGCAGTTCTCCTCTGTCCTATAGGGTCAATATGAGTCACAATCGACTCCATGGCAACTGTGGTTTGGTTTGGAAGAACAATACTAATCTTTCTTCACTTCAATAACTGAAAGTTACTTCTCAAACTGGGGCAAAAAATATCACCAGACTCCCTGACATTATAAAGGGAAGGAAGCAACCAAGATACTTTTATTAGCAAAAAAAAAAAAAAAAAAA